CCGGGCCGGGGCCGCCCCGCCGCTAGCGCTCGTGCCTACCTTCTGCCTGACGAGTGGGGGCAGCTCCAGGCCCGTCTCCCCCCTCTCCGGGATCTGCCTTTGCCACCCTGCAGCAGCATTCCCCAGGCTGTGTGTAGCCAGCTCCCACCTGGCCCCGGGGCCAGCCATTAGCATTGCTCCATATTGCCCACAGCTGCCGGGTCCAAGCCCAGCTCCCCTTAAAGGGCCAGCCCGCCTGGGCCAGGCCCTTTGGCTCCAGCCCCAGCCGGGCCCAAGTGATACAGTCTAAGGAGGAGGTTCTCAGCACCCAGCTGTGCCCACGTGGCGTCCTCAGGGCCATGCAGGTGGCATTGGATGCCGCCCACGGGTCTCAGGCTACAACTGCGCTGCAAGCGGCAGCGAGGCTATGGCCCGGGGCCGGTGGGGGTAAAACAGCCGGGGGCTGTGGCAGTTCGTGCTCTGACGCTCGGCCCGCTTCCCAGGGGCATCCCCGCGTTATTCCTAGTGCCGCAGCACAGCCCCTGGGCCCTGAGAGTCACTGCCGGGACATTTTTCAGCCACCTGGCTCAGTCCTGGCTCACGCTGGGTCCGGGACCCACCCCTGCTGCAGCTCTGCATGGAAAGTGTATTAGGAGCCAGGCAGCCGGCCCAGCTCAGTCCCGGCTCGCGCCCGGTCCAGGCACTCAGACGCCCTCTAGACAGGGGCTGCTGCTGCCTCTTTCTCTGAAGCAGCAGCACAAGGCGACAGGCAGCCGGTCTGGGAGGGGAGCTGGCTTTTAAACGGGCCCCCCCATGGACCAGCTCCCACCTTGCACCCCACGCTGCTGCCTCTGATACCTGGCTGCTGGCCCTGCCTCTGGGGTCTGTAGAACAGTCGACTAACTCAACACTTCCTGAGGTTACTTGACTATTCAACTGACTGATATGTCACCTCCCTACCCAGCCCTGCCTCAGGAGCCGGGCCAGGGGTTCGATACCCTGCAGGAAGCACAGGGCCGAGCTCTCTAGGTTCCTGCCACACCTGGGGAGGACTTTGCCATTTTCTAGCCTGAGTTTCCTGCCTAGTTTGAAAGCGGCTGTGAGCTCTCGCATCTTACTAACTTGGCCTCAGACAGGGGCTGCTCTTGCTTTCTGCAGCCCCTCTCTCTAGGGCTGGCAAGCTGGCCAGACCTTGCTGGAGCATAAGCTGCAGTTCCTGCTCCTGTCGAGAGGGGTAGCGCCTCCAAAGAGCAACCCCCACCCCTACGACATGGGACAGAGCATTGCTTTCTGCTCCACTAGGCGGCCGTGACCTGATGACAACCCAGCAGAGCACCCACCAGAGCTTAGGGAAGCGGGCGGCCCAGTCGCGCCCGATGGGATTAGTGCCGGCAGGCACACGCGCCCCGGTGGAATACGTGACCAAGTACCAGAGCGATTTCCCAGCACGCAGCTCATTACCTGCCCGGAGTCAGCCTGCCCAGCCACCGCTGGACAACCTGGCGATCAACCGGGGCTTCAGGTGAGTGCAGCCACCAGGTGACCCGGACAGGGCATACACTGGGGAACACCAGGCGGGGCGAGGAGGGTGTCTCAGCGTCACGGCAAGGGGGCTGTTGTTCCCTGGGTGGCAGAGCCTTTACCAGAGACCTAGCACAAGGGCCTGCCCCTCCCTGCAACCTGGATTTCAATCTGAACAGCTGTTGCTGAAGAAGGGGAAGGAAACAGGATTTTTTTCCTGTAAATTACATTGT